CCCCACCGTCCCTGCGTTCCCCCAGGTGCCTGTGCCGCCCTGTGGGTGCCTGCGTGTCCCCCCACCGTCCCTGCGTTCCCCCAGGTGCCTGTGCCCCCCCGGCGCCTGCGTCACCTCCAGCCGCACCTGCAGGTCGGTGAGCTCCCAGGAGCCGTAGTCGTCCTGGCCGCACGGCCTGAGGAAGGACGGCCGGAAGTCCACCTTGACCAGCTCCCAGTCGGACCGGAAGCTGATGTGACCGAAGACCCTGGAGGGTGGGAGGGGCTCCTGAGCTGGCTGCTGTGCCCTCGTCACACCTCCTCCCTCTGCACCCGTCAGCCCACCTGCCCGAGGGCTGCAGCGAGCCCCCTCCTGCCCTCACGGGTCAGCCAACACTAGGACAGCGATGACCCGGCCCATGCTGGCCACAGGGGCCTGCCTGGTCAGCGCAGGCACCAGCGGCCCCGGCACCTTCACACTTGGTCTTGGCCGGGGTCATCTGTCGGCCCCACAGGCTCCCCGCTTGGTGGACGCAGACGCGGCACTAGGGGTCAGCCCCTGGTCTCTACTACGTCCCACATGGAGATTTGGGGCCAGGCCGCCGTGTCTCCGTTGTCGGCCGCCCTGCCCTGCCCTTCTCTAGCCTCGTCAGCCGGCCGTCAGGCGTCCGGGCCGTGGAAACCCAGACCACCGTGCCACTAGGCCTCCCACTGTGGGCCCCGGGAGACGGGTGCACAGGGACTCGAGGCACCGTCATGCCGGGCTCTGGGCCCAGCCTGTGCCGTGTGGCTGCCCAGCCTCTGCTGGGCTGGGGGCTGGGCTGGGGTCGGAGCACCCACAGAGTGCTGGGAGCACCCACACCGTCTGGTCCCATCCAGGGAGCTGAGTCCATCCCTGCTCCCCAGAAAGGAAACAGGCCCAGAGGGGTCCGGCAGCTTGCTGGCGTCACACAGCTCTGTGTGCTGTTCCTGCCCTCTGCGGGGCGGCCAGTGGTCACTGGGCACGGAGATGCGGCGGGCAGGGGACACCACTGCCCCCAGGGCAGAGCTGTGTCCTATTTGCTGGGAAGCGTCAGACACGGAGCCTCAGGCCTTGCCCAGCAGCACCTGGGACCTGGCTGGGGTGGCCCAGGGCTGCTCTAAGCGACAGGGGCGGGAAGGGCCTTCCGGAGCCTCCCTCCTTCAGTCCGTGGCGTGGGACTGAGCAGGGGTGGGGGCACTGAGCAGGGGCCATCCACAGCCCGTTTCGTGCTCAGAAATGTCGGGGCCGAGCACGGGGGTGAACATGGCCTGAAGGACCCCAGCCCCACCCCCGTGCTGGGACAGGGCCTGGGGAAGCTCTTGGAGCGTGGCCGGGCAGCGGAGCTGTGGTTTCAGAGGGCGGCTCTGAGCAGGAGGCCTGGGCGGACAGCCTGTTCGCTGTGCCGGGGACCCCAGGCAAGGCTGTGCCCTCCAGGGACCTCAGCGTCCTTGGCCTTCAAATGGGGACAACAGTGGCCTTTCCAGATGGCTGGTGGGTTAGTGACGGTTTGTGCAGATGGCACGCGTGGGAGCGCCACAGCCCGAGGCAAGAGTGGGAGGCCCTGGTCCGTGAGCTGTGGCTCAGCGAGCCCCGCAGACGACAGGCGAGACACCGCCAGGCCCTCAGATCCTCACGGTGGCTGGTCTGCGAGGCCACGGTCGCGGCCTGTGTGTGCTGCGCGCCCCGTGCCCTCAGGGGCTCGCCTCATTGCACCCCATCCGCCAGCTGACTCTCCAGGCCTCTCTTCTGCATCTTAGTCGGGGCGCTCCGCTGAAACCTGTCCCTGCGAGTGACCCTGCTGCCGTGTGACATACCAGCAGCTGTGTCCATCCTCACAGCAGCACGCCGCCACCCGGCAGGACAGACTGCCCAGCAGGTGGCGGGAACAATGTGCTTGATTGATGGGACACAGACTGACACAGAGGACCCCCAAGATCTCACGGCCACTGCTCACCAGCCGACAGCCAGGACTCAAACCCAAGACTGGTGGCCCTAAGCCTGGGGTGCTGGGCAGGGAATGCGCCTCGTGTTTGAGTGTGACGGCCGAGAGCCCCCGCCGGGGACGTGGCATCTCAGCTGTCCACAGCTCTAGCAGAGAGCCTATTGGACCCACCTACCCAGTCCCCCAACACTTCTGAAGTCATGTCCCTATAGAACTGAACACCTAGGCTGACACCACAAGCCGTCTCGTCTGGGGGTTCGTGTTTCAGAAGGTGGGGTGGGGAAGCCTCTTTACAGCTTCACGGTAATAAGGGGCCGGGGCAGCCGGGTGGGCATGCATCCGCTGCCGTGAGCAGCTCCGCCCACCTCATGGGTGGCCTGCAGTCTGGCCAGCTCCCAGAGCCCTCGAGCCCAGGGCCTCAGGGTCCCTCCTGGTTCT